TATATATATATTAGAACAGACTCAATTTTCTTTTAGATTAGTTCCTTGATTTATTTCACAGATAAAGCACTCAACTATTTATGCTGGCACAGAGTGTGTGTGGGAAATGGGGATGGGAGGACTATCTTGTTTTGGAACAGTACCACCTAGTGCTGCTTTCTGTCCTTTTGTGGCCTGTGTTATATCTCAAGAATTTGCTTAGAATCCATATGTGCTGACAATATACAGTGTAACTTTACATCCTTGCAAGACTTCAAGGTAATTTGGTTTGTGGCTGCCTTGGCATGATCTAAAAGAGAAAGGAAAAAAAAAAAAAATCATGTTTTCAGTTCTTTTGTGATAGCCTTTGAAATCTCCACAGTGTCTCTCTTATTCTATCATCTTTGTTTCTCCTTTCTCTGGACTGAAAGAATCACATCTCCTCACCCTGCTATCCATATGAATATTTTTCTCTTTCTATATACTGGCAAAGTTGAGTTACTTGGTAGTTCTTCCCATCTGGTAAATCACTGATTTAATGAGAGCAGTGATTTTAGTCCACGCTAGTGCTGAGTATCTGTGAGGGATTTTTGCAAGTTACCAGTGTTTCTAACTGAATTTTTTTTTTTTTAACTAAACAAGAACCAGTGCAGTCTGAAAGGAAAGTTCTTCTTTAATTTAATTTGGTAACTTTATATTTACATCCTAATTCTAAATGCGTAGCTTCTTTTTATGCTTAAATATAGTGTTTCCATAAGATGTAGAAAACTACTTCTGTGCTGTTTTCAAATTGAAGAATATGCATGAAAAAAGTTATTGTACTTCAGTCCAGGCTATTTTATAGCCATTCAAATATTTTGGCTAATATACTCCATGTACTCTCTTCTGATGACAGAGGAATTGAGTGGATAAGCTTGACTGGGTTTATTTCCTTCGCCACATCAACACCTAACAATCTGGGGCTAGTAAGGAATGAGCTGCAGCTGGTGGACCTACCAACAGGTTAGTATTTCCTGAGAAATCTGTACAAGAGGCTAACAGATTTGCTGTGGAGTGACAAACAGAAGTTCTTACTACTTTTTTTTTTTTCCTTCTGTTGTCACAACAAAAAAAAAAAAATAAAGAGGGGTTTTAACTGGTTCTGCTCTTCTGTCCTTGTGAAGCCACGTAATGTGTTCCATCTGGTGCTCTACAGACAGACTTGAAGCAACACCTTTGCAAAGATGTCTGTGGCTTGAACTTATTAAAAGAATGATTATGCGTCAGCAGGAGGTTTAGAAGCGTTCAGACAGCATGGGTATTAGTGGTATATTTTGTTCGCAAAATGCATATATTTCCAAATGTGTTTTGTCATAGTCTACACACGTTGTTTCATGTGTACCTGTAATAGTGTTGAACCATTTATTGTGGTTTGTATAAGCAACAGATACTTTTTCAAAGTAGGCCAGGCATGTGGCCAGAATTTGAGTGTGTGTATGAATGTTAAATGGGTATAGTTTTACAAAGAATTGGAAGGGTTAAAAAATAAATAACTGTTTAAAAGGTACAGTTGATAGGAAAACTAACAGCCAGATTGTGTGTGTTTTTCAACCACTCTGGCCTTATAATGGATGACAAATATATTTGTGATTGAGTTCAATATTTGCACAATACGAGGAGGTAGAGTTTGGAAGATTAGACAGCTCAAAATAGGAAGCACTTCAATAATTTTAAATTATTTTTGAATGGGAAAACCTGGAGCCATTTAATTTCTAATTGAAGACCCTGAATCTTGTAACACATGGCTAAGTCTGAATTGCTTTATGTAGCATAAAGTGATAATTTTTGGGGTTTTTTTTTAAGCTTATGGAAAAGACTCAATTTTTGTATTTACAGGGATGCTGTACAAAGAACTTATTCTTTTAACATAACAATATTGTAATTTTTTTTTCCTGAGAGTGTCTTTTGTTCATTTGTTTAAAATCAAAATAGAAAAGGCATGTACTTTGTAAAATTAATTTCATGTAAAATGGGATTTTGATTTCTCACTCATCTTGTAAATCAGTACTGAAACATTTATAAATATAAGTATTTCTGCAGGCAACCAAGTTTCAAGTAAATGTGAATACCTGACACCTTAGCATATGTTTTGCTTAAAAAAAAAAAAAGTCACTTTTCCTCTTTTAAAACTTACAAGAAAGGCATAGCTACTTAACTGTTTGATTGTTGGGTCTTCCATCACTGTGTAGCCCAACTTTCTATTTTAGTTCTAGGAAAGCTCTGCTGATTTGTATTTACTTCATGAACATTTTGACAAAATTCTCATTTACGTGTCTGAACAACAATAAGGAAGAAAATTCCTATGGGTTTGATCACTGATGAAGAAAGTAGATCTGGAAAGTTTCCTGCAGGCTGGCCTCTGACATGAGAGCTCTAACTGGCATTGTTGATAACCAGATTTAGTCACATAATTGGCATAAGTAATTTAGCTATGAGTAGCCACAAGAGCAGCTAAAGTTTGAAAACTTGCATTTTCCTTGAAAGCTAAGGAGAATGAAACTTGCATAGGAGATGCTGTGATACCCTGGTGTTTGTCGATCATTATTTTAGTGATGTGTATAATGCCTTTAATTCTGCCACGCTTCCTACAGGTGAGTCAAAATTTTGTTGGGGATAAGATTATAAATTTTTATGGCGTTTCAACAGTGTTCATTCTTTTAGCTGGAGAGAAAGAATGGTTCTGCTAAATGTAGAGTGAGTTAGTACTTCAGCATGGAAATACTTTCAGACTTTTAAATATAATATTAGTATATGGTACAGTTAATTTATCTTACAAAACCAGAAATCTACTCGTGAATTTCCTCCTTGGGGAATCAAGAGTATATCTCATTGGCTTTGAGTGGAAAATAATAACTCTTTGAACTCTCTCTCTGTATTTATATAATGCTGATTATGCATCTATTTCAGTAGTTGTGCTCTGAAGCCAGTCAGGTATTATCTGAGACAGTAGAGTTTCCACTGTATTTAGTCCTTTGAAACATAGTAATACTTCGACAATGACAAGAGTAATGTAAGGTAGGGCAGGTTACTTGGAGATGTTCTAGTTTAGTTTGTAAACTATTTCTGTTTATAAACAGAATAGTTTACAAACTCTTTCTATATTTGTATTTAGTTTAGTAACTCTTTCTGGTTTCCCCCATGTTGTTTTTGTGTTCCAGGCAGGAGCATCGCATTTCGTGGGGAGCGAGGCAATGACGAGCCAGCTATTGAAATGATAAAGGTGTCTCATTTGAAGTAAGTAGAGTAACATTGTGAAGTTTATAACTTTGACTGTACTGCATGAGGATCCTCATGACTTAATAGAAATAATAGGAATTCCACGAAAAAACACTCCAGAGCATACAGAAAAATGTGCAACAGCATCAAGAGAAAAATATTTTAGAATATTAGTTCAGAGTGCAAAAGCTGTGAATGTTTCTGTGGTTGACTTTGTCACTTCAGGATCCAATCACATGGCAAGGTGAGTCATTAATATTTTAGTTCTTTGAAGAATTGTGTTCACTGAACAGACATTTTGATAATATTAGGGAGAATAAAAGTGCTGAGCAATTTTTGTCAGCTTCGATTATGTTGTGAGTTAATTCCCTTTTCTATAACTTAAGCCTTACTTAAAACTAAAAGATTGGCGTTAAAGGTGTGGGATGACTTTTCACCATCAAATTCTGCTTATTTTGACATCAGGCCTGTGACAGGAGGCCCTGGTCAAAAATAGTAAAAGTAGTGCTCTGTGAGATTACTTTACTCGCCTGTGTAAGTGAATTAAAGTAGTATTGTATTTAACAAGGCATTATCTCTAAATTTTAAAAGTTTTTTTCTTTACAATGGAAGAAAAAATTAACGTTCTCTAGCTTGCAAGGGAATATTTTCAGAAGTATGTATGTGTTCCAGAGAATTTGGAAGTGTTCAACCATATAATGGTATCAATACATTAAAAATAAAGAACAGCCATGGGCTTAGATGAAGAGACTAGAATGTTAAGTGAGAACAAGAAAGGATAGTTCATTTGAACAGAAATTAAGACAGTTGAGAAGAGCACAAATAGCTGCAGAGCCTCTCTGTATTTTCAAGGTACATGTGAAAAGTGGTGGAATTGAAGGTGTTTTACTCATCATGACTGACAAGTGGTTTAGTGTAAGAGGATTTTATGTTCATTTATCACTTGATTAGGTTACTGGCATGCATCTGGAGTAGAAAAAAAAAATCTATCCAACCTAAAGGCTTGCTGTGTCTTTCTGATATCTTGTGCAGTCATCAATTCAGGCTGAATATGGCTAAATTAGAGGTGCTGCTGTTTTCTCTGAATTCCTTCCCTTGTCTATTTACAGTAATTGAGCAGTACCACCTGACAGAATTTTCTAATTCTTTTAGCTTTGAAGGAGGATGCTTTTTCAGACAGAGTCTTTTGCACTTGAGTAACTCAAGGAAATCACAAGCTTCGGAGTAGGATTTGATCCAAGTTAATTTACTCTGCTTTCTCTTAGTTTTTGAGGTTTTCTGGAGTGCTGATATGAGCAACGCTTGTGAAGTAAAATACTCAAATTAAAATGGAATGATTACTTTTGATATAGTAAATCCTTATTTGTTTTAGGCAGTATCTAGCTGTAGTATTTAAAGAAAAACCACTGGAGATCTGGGATGTCAGAACATGCACTCTGCTCAGAGAAATATCTAAAAACTTTCCTACAGCAACTGCTTTGGTAAGGAATAAAATCTGTTACTGTTTGTTAAATGTAATATGTTGAGATAGTATAAAAATCTATGAGCAATTTTGCAGCAAAATGTTACTGTACAGATAAGTGCTTTCACTCTTCTGGTTTCATCTGTCATCAAATAGAGGCACGAATAAAGGAGGTACTAGTGGAAAAATCTGGTCTGCTCCTTGGGTGATGGAGGGAGGTATCATAGAAAGCAATTTTCATTGACATTATTATAATTAGCAGAAAAATCCCCAGTAAATTTGGGGAGTAAACATTTGTCTTTCCCATTTTTCCTGGACAATTTTTCACAGGAGTGGTCACCTTCTCATAACTTAAAAAGCCTGAGGAAGAAGCAGTTAGCAGCCCGTGAGGCCATGGCCAGGCAGACGGTTGCATCAGATACAGAAGTTAGCAATGTAGAATCTTCTGTGATCAGGTATTTCTCATTCTGATATCGTGTTATTCTGCATCAGTTGTTGTTTTTCCACTGTGTGCCATTGTTCTGTAGAACGGAATATTTTGGAACTGATTCTTGAGTGCATAGCAGAGAAAGCAACTTTATGGGCCTCTCTTTAGCTCTAAGATGTGGAACTTTGATTTACTGTTGAATGAGAGAAACAGTGTACCTGTTTCTCTTGGGTGTGTCTGCAGCAGTCCATTAGTTACCTGGTTCTTGGAAGTAAAACTCTTATTTGCCCCCAGGCATTTCCACAAGCGTGTAAATGAGTTAACCGTTGCTTCTGGATAAATTGTTTTGAAGGATATATGCATTGTTGTGCTGCCTCTGTGCATTAGTTAGGAAGAATTTGCCTTGCAATTCTAATTTCAAGAAATACATACTTGTGTCTCATTCTGTTTTCTTTAAAGCTTGTTGCAGGAAGCCGAAAGTAAATCGGAGCTGAGCCAGAACATTTCTGCGAGGGAGCACTTTGTGTTTACAGGTGCTGATGGGCAGGTTTATCATCTCACAGTAGAAGGAAACTCAGTAAAAGACAGTGCAAGAATTCCTCCTGATGTGAGTTCCAATTTTCTGTATCACTGATGGTTTAATGTTTTCCTTAGGTATGATTGCCAGAAAAAAAAATCAGGGATATGCATTGTAGTGCCAAGTGGTCATTAACGCAGTAGTTTGAAATACGAAATAAAAAATTCCAACTTCAAATACTATAGCAATTCTGTTTTCACAAAGTTTTCTATTGAAAATGCTGGTGAAATAAATATATTTTTTTTTTTTTACAAGTTAGAATTTTCATAGGCCCTGACTTGCTTTCTGAATAAATTACATGTCATATTTTTAAGAATTTTAGTAAGGCATATATAAAAAGCTTGAATGACAAAGAAGATGTTATTGAAACATGACTATGTTCTGTTAATGGATTTTATCTTGCGTCATAAGGAGGACTTGAGTGGGCCAGAGCACTCTTTTGTGAGTTTTGATTCTGCCCCCCCCCCCACCAGATACTCTGAAGAACAGTCTTTTTTTTTCAGTTGTTCCTGAAGGCTTTGAGAAATTGAACTTACAAGTAGGATTTCTTTTATTTTTGTTTCCTACTTTAGTATATGCTAGTATTGTGTTTAATGAGGTCTGTCATGTTGGTGTTTCCTTGCAACAAGAAACAGAGAAGTGATTTCCATTGCTTTAAACCCAAAATTTCTTACAAGGAAATGTCTTTTGAAGTATATTGAAGCAAATATGACTGACTTGATAAATGCTTATATTCAATAGAATTGTTTCTTGTTTAACTGAGTAGAATTTGGTCTATCATGTCATATAATATTTTAAAAAATAAAATACTAATTTTGAAATGTTTGTTCCTATGTTTGGCTCTATTAATCACAAGATCTTATTCTGTTTCTTAAATATTTCCAGGGAAGCATGGGTAGCATTACGTGTATTGCCTGGAAAGGGGATATCCTGGTTCTTGGAGACGTTGATGGAAACTTAAACTTCTGGGATTTGAAAGCTAGAGTATCCAGGTATGAATGCAAATTAAGTCTGATAAACATGAGATAATGAGTGTTAGAATGTTTTGGGGTTGTTCCCCCCCCC